GTTGACAGATAATCTACAAAATAATTCTATTCAATTTAAATTGGGTATGAAAGTATTTTGCTTATTGGAAATATTAAATTTGATTTATTAGCTTTAAACCTAAAATAAAAGATTCACGAAATACTTTTCATTTTTAAAATGCATTTTAAAGGAGAGATAGCGTTTTTGGGGGTACCGATATATATATATATATATAGCAAGTGTAAATATATATATATATATATATATATATATATATATATATATATATATATATATATTAGTATATTGATGAAAACGTAATTGATCTTTCTGTGTTTGTGTTCTCATTTTCAAAACATTCTTCTCATGTCAAAAAAATTTCAGCTCAAAAAAATTGAAGATATTTTAATTTTTTGTCGATATTGACATTTCCATCAAGATGTTATGGGCAATGGAGTGTTATGGATCATTTTTTTAACTTCCATTACTATCATTCATATATATATATATATATATATATATATATATATATATATATATATATATATATATATATATATGATATGTATGTATATGTATATGATACAGTATTTATGTATTTATGAACGAACGTGAGTAAATTTCGCAAGAATGAGATCTGGGAAAAGAGATTTTGAACACTTAAAATAAAGTGTCACTTAGACATAAAACTAGAATGGTTTTGTTTTTATACGTTTTAAATATTTCTTTTCTGTTAGGAAAGAATTTAATGAACTTTCATTTTAGTACCAGAGAATGAGAACGAGATAGGGTGTGCGAGGGATGGTGCCAATGCATGAATAATATATGAGAGAGAGAGAAATGTACTGATAGTGAGAGAGGGAGAGAGATGGAATGGAGGGAGAGAGTGAGAGAGGGTGAACGAGAGAATATGAAAGAACAAAGGCATGAGAGGAGAAAACAGGAAAAATTTCTTGTTTTCTATTGAGGGTGGACAAAATAGATTTATGTGGAAAATTTCTTCAAATTTCTTAACCAGTTTAACGATATCAAGTAAAAGCGGGTTGATTGAGCATTATACATTCATTAAACAACTTGAAAATGCTTTAGGAAATTTAAAAATAAAATGACGTAATACTATATAAATATTAATAACTAAATTCTTATAATGAGGAAAATTCACAAGTTGTGAATGTACTCGGGTAGGAAAGAACTACGGCGCCTTCTTTGATGAATTTCATCTTAACGTCAAGAAACTGATTAGAGAACAAGAAAGGATTATTATAAAAATAAATAGACTTCATTTTTCCCAATGTTGTTTTTCCTATATAAAAAATATATATCATTATCTCATTCTAAGATATATATATATATATATATATATATATATATATATATATATATATATATATATGTCTAGGAGAAGGACAACTCTGAATTCAAAACCTGCGGAGGGTCGTTTGGGGACCTTGTGGCACGTAGTGCACCAGGTCTCTGTATTCGGCCCTTCAAAAAGTGTGGATGGTCCTGCACGAAACCTTCACCACAATAATCAAATCTCATGTGCTGTTGTCGGGCTGTCGGTTCCCTTGGAACTGATCTACTTGACCCCCATACGTCGAATTCGACGGGAGAGTCGACTATATATGTATATATATATATAGGTTGCTTCATGAGATCGCTAAAAAGAGTATAGCATGACGAAAAAGACGACAAACTTGACGAAAACAAAACTTTATCGTGTAAATGTTTATGTTATTATTAAGACGAAAGATCAAAGTATTTTGGGGGTATGTTTTTACATTTTTTAATCGTTCCTAGCACGTCCAAAATTTTCGTTAAAAATGTTGTATTTTTAGTCAGCAAAATTGACAGATAATCAATCATGTCAGTCATTTTTTCCATATATAAAAGATGAAAATCTCAGTTTGACATTCTTTTAAAAATCAATTATAATTTTTTCAAAACTTATTTTAAGAAAATCAGAAATTATAATGTTTATTTGAAATATTTTGAAACAAGCTTAACTTAGTTTCTGCGCCGAAAAGTTGTAGTTTGAAAATAAAACAAAGCAGGTCATAACATTTCGAGTCACTTGACAGGTGACGAAAGACATTTTCATGACGTTTTGATAGCTTACGTGAGGATAATTCCTTCTACAGATGGAGCGAAATGAAGTTATTTAGATTTAAGTGAACAAATTATTTACCTCGTTATTTTTAAGGAAAACTTTCAGAGCTCTAATTTTTTTTTTTTGTACTTAGCTTTCACCTTTAAATTTACGATGCTTTATGGAAAATATATTATAAAGAAATTAAAATAAGACTGTTGAGAGTGAGATTAAATTTCATAAGAAAGGTATCTAATTAATTTATAGGTACCTTTCTTCAGAAGTGTATATAAAATACAAATTTAAATTTCATAAGATGATACTGATACTTGTAGGTACCCTTCCCAGTTAAAATTGAAAAATCAAATTAACTTCTCCACACGTGTTTCGCAAAAATAAATCTATCTCAAAAGGACATTTACGAAACTGAATGCAACTTTTAACTAATTTTATAATATTTTAACAACTTAAAGGTAAAAATCTATTATAATTAAAGAAATAATTAAAAATACTTTGATCTTTCCACTTAATAATAGTATAAATATTTAGACGCAAAAATTTTGTTTTCGTCAAGTTTGGCATTTATATATATATATATATGTGTGTGTGTGTGCGTCTGTGTGTGCGTGTGTGTGTGTGTGTGTGTGTGCGCGTCTGTGTGTGTGAATTTGGTTCAAATAAAGACAGAATGAAAGGCTAAAACAAATACGAAAGATTTATGAATCTAACATGTTTCCCTTTTTTATCAAGAAAGAAATTCTGGTGTTGTTTAATTTACATTTGTTAATTATGATTCATGTTCATTTAACTTGTTAAGCAACTTTAGTATAATTAATGGTTTTATAATTTATAGTCTTATAAAAGTGAAACATGTTAGATTAGTAAACTTTTTGTTGTTTCTTTCAGTATACTTATTGATATATCCGTCCGTCCGTCTCGAGAGACGATGAAGTAGCGCGGGATATATGGAGAACTAGGGCTGCCCCGACGTCTAGTCTCCTCTCTCGGCCTTGCTAACAGAATCCAAAAGGATAAACCAATAGAGTTTGGTACCAGCAGAAAGTGCCGTTTATATATATATATATATATATATATATATATATAGTCTAAAATGTCTATTACAAGGCATATGTGTTTGCATATATAGACCTATCTATCTATCCACACACACACACATATATATATATATATATATATATATATATCATTAAACATATATACATACACATATACACACACACACACACACACACACACACACACACACACACACATATATATATATATATATATATATATATATATATATATATATAAAACAAACTTAATATCTCTGTTGTATTACTTGGAGCACTGTTTTATTAGCACCAGCACTATCTGTACAATATATTATGATTATATATGTGTGTGTGTGTGTGTGTGTGTGTGTGTGTGTGTGTGTGTGTGTGTGTGTGTGTGTATGTATGTCTGTATTTCATTAAATATGACAAATATGGGTTGATATGTTTTTGGTGTTAGTTTTTTCCTCATGTTTTGACTATAATTTGTATTTCATTTTTCCGTTATTTTGAATAGAAACACCCCCACCCACCTTGAAAAGAAGTGGCCGAAAGTGCTTGGGACAATGAAAATTAAAGAAAATTTTTATACTCCCTCGCTCCTACAAAAAGGAAAATCGTAAGGATGCTGGAAAACTAAATAAAAAAAAAATAGTTAAATCTTGCTTGTTTGCCATATTTAATGAAAGATATTTACAGAAAAGTTGCATCCCAAAAATACATTAATGTATATGAATAAAAAGAAACAAAAGGAAAACTATTCTTAGCCGACGCGTTTCGTCCTTTGAGGGATTTTACCAAGGCAATATAGGAATTATTTTGTTGCATGTGTTTATATACAAAAGCAAGGATATCATTGGTTTATGAAGGCTTTTAAATTTGACAATGATCATGAATATTCATTAGGCGATTGAAAAGTCACTGAAAACACGTGACGAACAAAAACTGTCATAATTCAAAGTCTGGCAAGAAGTAATATTAATTTTCTTTTTTTAAATGAATATTTTTTAAATTTTGATTAGATTGTTATTGTATGTGTTGGATGTATGTGCCATACATCTTTAAAAACAGGAGGTGAAATATTTAACCGCTTTCTTTTGATTTTTTAGCATATTTGTGGTCGTGCATGTTGACTTGGGTACGTTGAAATTCTTTCAGGAAAGGTGAGATTTGCAATATATATATATATATATATAATTATTTTTTATAAAAAAAAATTATAACATAAGTATGTTATAAAATCACTACAAAAATAGCCATTTTGTTTCAACACACTGTGTCTTATCAAGTGATGATGTTGAAAATAAAATAAATGGTTTTATATATATATATATATATAGAGAGAGAGAGAGAGAGTTATGGATATTAAAAGTACATAACTATACAAACATTACAAACTACATACGCATATCTATAAACATATAGTTAAATAAGTATAGTTACAGTTTCTGGGAGAGAGCGTGTTATTATCTAGCATGATCAACAATTTGAACAAGGCCAGCACGTTCAACCCCTCGGCCACGATGACTTGCGACTTCGTACTAGCACAGCTATCGACGGCCCAAAAGAGTTCCGTCTACCCAATTTCATTCACAAGGCTTGGGTCAACCCGTGATATGATTTTCAGGCACTTTCCAAAGTCCCGTACGCTGGAATCGACATCGATCCAGTCCTATAAATAGAAGGCGTCTTCCTGACAAATCGACCATGGTTAGATTCGATATATATATATATATATATATATATATATAATGGACTCTCCCGTCGGTTTCGACGTATGAGGATCTGACAGCTTATTGATTCAGTTATGAATGTTTGTGCGATAATCCGCTAGTTATTTACAAATATATATATATATATATATATATAGTTATGCATCCGGGCATGTTTCGATGCCACCTGTGGCCGAGAACTTGTCGTTCGCGGATCGGCTGCTATCTCATTTGACAGCCCACAGAAGACGAACAGTGTTGTCGTTAGCAATGACGGACAACGTAAGATAGATACTTATGTCTGGATATTAAAATTACATAACTATATAAACATTACAAACTGCATACGCATATCCATAAACATATACAGTGTGACCCGGATATAAGAGACCCGGATATAAGAGAAACCCGGATATAAGAGAGATTTTCTCTGGTCCCAAATTAGAGCCTGTGTTAATGTATATATAATAGACCAAACCCGGATATAAGAGACTTACTTCTTCTCCGGTCCCGACAACTCTCTTATATCCGGGTTACACTGTATATATATATATATATATATATATATATATATATATATATATATATATATATATATATATATATATATATATATATATATATATATATATATATATATATACTACTATATTACGCAGATATGACATGAATTTAGAAGTAATGTATATAAGCAGACAAACATGCAGTCACACGTGCATATGCATTTAAATATTTATTTCTGCACTCAAGCTTTATACACTGGAAACATTTTCGCGAGGATTTTTTTTTTTTTAAAAAAAAAAAAAAGAAAGGCACATTGTTAGAAAGCCTTCCTTAATAGGTTTTTAAAATTCTTTCGAATGATGGCAGTTTTAAACAGACAAGCAGAAAAAGACTGAAGACATGGAGATGGGTCTGGGGGTGTGGTGGTGGTGGCGGTGGGGGGGGTGCTAGAATAAATGCTTGAATATTATTGTATTTACAAATAACAAAGTATATTTTTAGGTAACTTTTCCAAATGGGGATTTCGTACAGGCTATTTTTTTCTCACTCATTGAAGGCAGATACGGAAGACAAGAATGTAGGTAGTAAAATACACACACATACACACACACACACACACACATATATATATATATATATATAGATAGATTAAGTTTTAAGTTACTATAAATTTATTCATATATACATAGGTTTAATATACACGCATTAATATACAGATAATGGAGTCTGTTCCTAGCTAACTATTTCAGTCCGTTCATATCTATCTATCTATCTATCTATCTATCTATCTATCTATCTATCTATCTATCTATCTATCTCTGTCAGTTCATACCTATCCATCTACAGTGTAACCCGGATATAAGAGAGTTGTCGGGACCGGAGAAGAAGTCTCTTATATCCGGGTTTCTCTTATATCCGGGTTTGGTCTATTTTATATACATTAACACAGGCTCTAATTTGGGACCAGAGAAAATCTCCCTTATATCCGGGTTTCTCTTATATCCGGGTCTCTTATATCCGGGTTACACTGTACCTATACCGGTGCTTATCTATCTATTCAATCTGTTCATATCTATCTATTGCAGTCTGTATATATCTATCTAGATATCAATCTATTTATCTATTTCAGTCTGTTCATATCTATCTATCTATCTATGTTCATATCTATCTATGAATCTATTTGTCTATTTATCTATCTATCCATCTCTGTCAGTTCAGATCTATCTATCTATATCTGTTCATATCTATCTATTTCAATCTGTTCTTATCTATCTATCTATCTATCTATCTATCTATCTATCTATCTATCTATCTCAGTCTGCTCCTATCTATGTATGTACGTATGTGTTTATCTATCTATTTCTGATTCTTCATATCTATCTATCTATCTAGCTAGCTAGCTAGCTAGCTAAATATCTATTTTAGCCTATCTCGCTATCAATTTCTCAGCCTGTTCATATCTATGTATGTATGTATCTATTTCTGTTTGTTCATATGTATCTGTTTCAGAATTTACAGGACATTCTTATTTTATCTGTTCATATCTATCTATCTATCTATCTATCTATCTATCTATCTATCTATCTATCTATCTATATGTCTGTCTATGTCAGTTCATATCTATCTTTCTATCTATAACTGTTCATATATATCTATCAATCTATTTGTCTATTTATATATCTATCCATCTCTGTCAGTTCAGATGTATCTATCTATATTTGTTCATATCTATGTATTTCAATCTTTTCATATCTATCTATCTGTCTATCTATCTATCTATCTAGCTAGCTAGCTAGCTATCTCAGTCAGTTCCTATTTCTGTATGTACGTATGTATTTTCTATCTATTTCTGATTCTTCATATCTATCTATCTATCTATCTATCTATCTATCTATCTATCTATCTATCTATCTATCTGATTCTATATTTCTGATTCTTCATATCTATCTATCTATCTATTTCTGTCTGTTCATATCTGTCTAAATATCTACTTCAGCCTATCTATGTATTTCTGTCATTTTATATCTATCTATTTATGCATCTATTTCAGTCTGTTTATATGTATCTGTTTCAGAATATACAGGACATTCTTATTTTATCTATCTATCTATCTATCTATCTATCTATCTATCTATCTATCTATCTGTTTCCGTCTGTTATCTCTCTTTTCTCCTCTCTCTCTCTCTCTCTCTCTCTCTCTCTCTATCTATCTATCTATCTATCTATCTGTTTCCGTCTGTTATCTCTCTCTCTCTCTCTCTCTCTATCTATCTATCTATCTATCTATTTCCGTCTGTTATCTCTCTCTCTCTCTCCTATCTATCTATCTATCTATCTCTATCTATCTATCTATCTATCTATCTATCTATCTATCATATCCCTGCAATCTTTATAATATGATGATTTTATTATATGACAGTTGTGATTTCTCTGCTCTTCAAGTCTTCTATGAAATTCGACTGATCGTTTGATCTTCCATTGCTGTTACTTCATTGCGTACTTCTTTCCTTTGTAGTAAACGCTGAGGATGTTGCCGTCTACTTCTGCCACCCAATACCGTGTTACTTCAACCTACAAAGACAAAGAAATATAGACAACGAAAAGAAAGAAAGAAAGAAAGAAAGAAAGAAAGAAAGAAAGAAAGAAAGGTAAAAATGAAAATAAGAAAGGAAAAGAAAGAACGATGAAAAAAGAAAATAATATAGCGGGTGGAAGAAAGAAAGAAAGAAAGAAAGAAAGAAAGAAAGAAAGAAAGAAAGAAAGAAAGAATCGAACGAAAAAAAAGAAAAGGTAAGGAGATTTAAGAAAGAAAGAAAGAAAGAATGAAGGAAAAAGAATGAAAAGGAAAGAAAGAAAGAAAGAAAGAAAGAAAGAAAGAAAGGAAAATGATTAATAAAAGAAAGAACGAAAGAAAGAAAGAACGAATGTAAAAGAAAGAAAAGAAAAGGCAAGAAAGAAAAAGAAATGTAAATAAGAAAGAAAGAAAGAAAGAAAGAAAGAAAGAAAGAAAAAAAGAAGGAAAGAAAGAAAGAAAGAACGAAAGAAAAATGAATAATGAAAGAAAAAAATATAAGTTAGAAGAAAAGAAAGAAATATAGTAGATGGAAGATCTAAAGAATAAAAAAAGAAAGGAAAAATAAATAAATAAATAAATAAATAAAGAAAGAAAGAAAGAAAGAAAGAAAGAAAGAAAGAATGATAGGAAATAGAATAAGGGGAATAGGAGAACAAGAAATAAAAAAAAATTAAGTAAAATAAAGAAAGAAATAAGAAAATGAAGAAAGAGAAGAGAAGGAAACAAGACAAAGAGAGACGAGTACTGGAGAAAAATACATTAGATTTAAAAAAATACAAAAGAAAGATTTAAAAAAAATTACAAATTAGACGATAAGATTAAGAAGAATGAAATAATGTAAAATAAAGAAAACTATTTGATTAATTTGCTAAATAAATAAAAGAATGAAAAAGAAAGAAAGAAAAGAAAAAGAAATGAATGAAAAATGAAAATAACCAATAAATAAAAAAGATGAAAACAAAATAAAGAAAAAGAAAGAAAAAAGACAATGAAATAAAAAAAATAAAACCAGCAAAGAAACGAAATATAAATAAATAAATAAAAAGAGGGAAAAGATGTACAGCAAAAGCAATCAACAAAGAGAGGGGGGGAGGGAGAGAGAGAGAGAGATACTCCCTCTCTCTTTATGCTGTCAAAGAAGGGCGTAGAATATATCAGCCGAAAGACTGTCTTAATTTTATCAAAAGCAAAAATCCGTGAAAGTTGTTCATCAAGCACTAGTGCTATTGGATTTCCCCTAAAAACTTAAGGACATGGGATTTGATTTGCTTTGCTTTGGTTTATTTTACGGCATATCAACCTCAATGGGTTATTTAATGCCGACAAAATTTTTATTGTTGCTAATATTTTTGTTCAAAAAATGTATTACTGGTAATATTTTTTTCCAAAAAAGTATTGGTGGTAATATTTTTTCCTTCAAAAGTGTATTACTGGTATTAATGTAATGCTGGTAATAATTTTTTTCTTCAAAAATTTATTGCTGTTAATAGTTTTTTTAAAAAAATGTATTGCTGTGATTAAAACCTATTTTTAGACTTTCATAGCGTTTTGAACTCAGTTTGGGGTTAACTACTTGCCCATAGCTGGGACCCCTAACAGGTGCTACCACCCAGGGTCAGGGTGGACCTGGGAACACCAGCAATTAAGAGGTGGTTCCATGCTCTTCAAAACCTGCTGACCAGAGGTCTTACTGTCGGATGTAGTTTAGCGTCTTACCCAGGACGCGGATGTAGTTTAGCGTCTTGCCCAGGACGCGGATGTTGTTTAGCGTCTTACCCAGGACGCGGATGTAGTTTAGCGTCTTACCCAGGACGCGGATGTAGTTTATCGTTTGGGGTGAGGGTGAGGTTCTTACCCCCTCTGCAGAAGTTCAGTCGGCATATTCTGGAGTCTCAGCCGACAGGTTGGGTCATGGGTTTCGCAAAACGCTTCAGAAATGTGGATCTGCAGAAGGATGCTGAGAATTCCATGGACTGAACGTATGAGCAACGACGATATTTTTTGGGGGAAAATGCAAAAAGAAAAAAAAAATAAAATAAACGAACGCTTACACTTAGAATCAGGAAAAGTCAATTGAAATTTTTATGACACATAATGAGGAAAGAGGAATTAGAAAAATTAACCCTCACAGGGCATTGAAAGCAAGACGAACAGTGAAAAGCAACGAATAACTTACCGAATGGGTGTGTGTATATGACTGTCAGAACAGAGATTAGAGGATATAGCAAAAAGACAAACTAAGAGCTATAAAAGACAGGAAGTTGGGGAGAGCCATGATCATCCACATCCTGAAGGGACATAGCACACAGAAGATGAAGTGAGTTCAAATTTGGGTGTGTTAATATCTTTTCTGTTTTTTCGTTGATGTTGTTAATTTTCTTATTTTCTCAGTAGAACTCGAACCCTGACCGTCACCTTAAGCACTGCTTCGGATAAACGCTGTGACAGACGAGGAAGTACCCCAGTCTCGATCTTTCATAATCTGCTAAGACAGTTAAAAGAGAAATAAGAATATGGAGATTTTATTGCGCCAGCCTTCCTCTAAATAACAATATTGAAAATCAACACTCGAAGTATTGGCTTTTTTAAATTGAGTTCAACAATCTTGACCTTTTCAAATCTAGAGCTAACCGTTAATTTCCCTACATAATCACATGAACTTATACAACACTCACTGTGACCCTCCACCTTGAGTAGCTCTTGGGCCTTGTATTGTGTGAACATTATTAGTATAAAGAATAACTACACGGTTTTCCATAGCTCTGAGAACAAGGAATACTTTCTTTCTTAGAAACGAAATAATGTTTTATTTTGCAGGAAATTTTATAGTACGACTTTCTAAAATAATTTGCATGAAAAATAACAGAACTTGCTGAAGATACAAGATTTAAATTATACAAAAAAAAAAAAAAAAAAAAAAAAAAAGAAGTAAAATAAAGTAAAATTCGCTCGCCGGCTCCTGAGACTCAATTCATAGACAGAGCGGTGTTGGGTGTAATTCGAGAACTATTGCGTTTCTCTTTGATCTCAGTCAACCTGTTCCCCATTGAGTTCACATCCAATAATTATTGATTGGTTAAAACTAAAGCGAACCGAACTTTATAAATTATGACTTTGAATTTTACTCTTGTTTAATTTTAGTTGAAATGCACAGGAAGTAAAAATTTGTCTGATTAAGTTTGTTTGCTTTTAAAAATAACTCGCATTACTTTTGCTTTCTTTCTTTTTCTTCTTTCTTTCTTTCTTTCTCCTGCTATTTCTTTCTTTCTTTATTTCTTTGGTGTTTCATTTCTTTCATGTTAGATCATTCTTTCTTTCTTTCTTTCTTACTTTCTTTCTTTCTTTCTTTCTTTCTCCTGCTATTTCTTTCTTTCTTTCTTTCTTTCTTTCATCTATTTCTTTCTTTCTTTCTCTTGATATTTCTTTCTTTCTTTCTTTGGTGTTTCATTTCTTTCATGTTAGATCATTCTTTCTTTCTTTCTTTCTTTCTTTCTTTCTTTCTTTCTTTCTTTCTTTCTTTCTTTCTTTCTTTCACCTGCTATTTCTTTCTTTCTTTCTTTCATCTATTTCTTTCTTTCTTTCTCTTGATATTTCTTTCTTTCTTTCTTTGGTGTTTCATTTCTTTCATGTTAGATCATTCTTTCTTTCTTTCTTTCTTTATTTATTTATTTATTTATTTATTTATTTATTTATTTCTTCCTTCTTTCGCGCTGGTCTATTCTTTCTTTCTTTAATACTGGTCCATTCTTTCTTTTTTCCTTTCTTTCTTTCTTTCACGCACCTCCATTCTTTCTTTCTTTCTTTCTTTCTTTCTTTCTTTAACGCTGGTCCTTTCTTTACTTCTTTTTTTTTCTATTCTTCTTTCTGTGATAGTTCTTTTATATGTTCTTACTTTCTGTCTTTCTTTCATGCTAAGAATTAGTATGAAAGAAAAGAACGTTTTCTTTGATGTTTTCTTTCTTCCACACCATTCCTTTCATTTTTTCAATTGTTTTTTGTTTTTATTTCTTTGTATTTTTATATTTGACTTCTGTCCTTCTTTCTTTTCTTCTTTCATCACATTAATTTTATAAAAATCCTCATCAATCTGTAATGTTTAAAGTGTATGTGAAGAAACGGAATTAACTAGCAAATAGAAAAGCTCATGCCGGAAGTCAAGTCAGATGTAAGTAGGCTTGGCATTGCAGCTCGTAAATGTGCAGTCGACTGCACCCGCTGGAAAATATGCAGTGAAATATATTAGTGTGAGAAAGAGGAAGTGGGGGAGTCGAATCGAAGTGCACAATCAGCAGTTCAGTCTTGAGAAAGCTTTGTATCAGTAAAGAAGGAGAGGAAGAAAAAAGAGAAGAATAAAAAAGAGAAGAAGAAGAAGAAGAAGAAGAAGAAGAAGAAGAAGAAGAAGAAGTAGAGAATCATAAATAGGAAGCGAAAAGAGGAAGAAGAAAAGCAGAAAAGAAGAAGAGAAAAGATAAATAAAAAATAAGAATATATTAAGAGAAAAGAAAGATATGAAGACAAAATTGACGGAGGAGGGATGGTAGCGGAGGGTGTTAAGAAAGAGAGGGTAAGGTAAAAAGGAAAAAGAAAGAGAGGAACAAAGTAAAAAGAGAAACAGCCTGAAGAAAAATGAAGGGATAAAAATAAAGGAGAATGATTGAGATAGAGGAAAAGCAAGGGGTGGAAAATGTCCGTGGAAGGAAACCAAATTCAAAATAGGAATAAAAACTAAAGGGAAAGAATAGACGAAAACACATGAGAATGGAAAAGAAAGAGGAGGAGGTGAAGGCGATGAAGGTGGAGGCGCTGAGGCGGAAATGATGAGATAAGCAAAAAGAAAAAAAATAGAAGGAAACAGGAGGAAAGAAAGAGTGGATATAGGGAGAGGGAGAAGAAAAAGACGGAAACGAAAAACGAACAGAATAAAAAAAAAACGGTAACAACCAAAAAAAAAAAAAAAAGAAGAAGCAAATCTCATGGATGAAAACGAAAAAGTGGCAATGAAGAAGATTTACAGAAAGAACGAAATAATGGCGGAAAATGAAGGATTATGAATTAAGAAACATGAACAAATGAAAAGTAAAAATAGACGCTGAATAGGAGGAAGGAGAAATGAGGCAAGCAAAAAAAGTAAAATCCCTAGTAAAGACAAGAAGAAGAAGAAGAAGAAGAAGAAGAAGAAGAAGAAGAAGAAGAAAAAGAAGAAGAAGAAGAGTTGAATACGAAGCGAACTTTACAGGAGGAATAATGAGATAAAGAAGAAAATGTAAAAGAGTAAAAGAGGAAGAAGAAACCAATAATAATAATAATAATAATAATAGAAGAAGAAGAAGAAGAAGAAGAAGAAGAAGAAGAAGAAGAAGAAGAAGAAGAAGGAGAAGAGCAGGAATCAATTGTTAAGTTACTGAAAAAAAAGGAATTGAGAAAATGAGAAAGGAAATCAAGGGTGGGGGGAGGGAAGAAGGAAAAGAAAGGAAAAGGAAGAGGACGAGGAATAGGATGAGAAGGAAGAAATGGAAAAATGAAACAAACTTTAGATGAAAATGAGGAAAAGAGGAGGAAAACGAAAAAGAGAATGCGGAAGAAAAACCGAAAAAAAAAAAGACAAATATAATGATCGCCATATTTGCTTTCGTTTCTGCTTTCTCTTGCGAAATATCACCACATCTCACTTTCACTTTATTTTACTCTCTTCTAGCCTTTCCTTTTCTCACAGTTATCTCTCCTCTCTACTATTAGCTATCTTTTCTCTATCTCTTCTCCCGTCCCACTCTGTACAACACATCTTCCCAACCTACATTATTCGCCCTCCGCCATCACCGCCATTTTCCTTTCTCTTCTCTTCCACCCGACTCTCTATCCACACGCCGAGCGGCTTCTTTTGATGTATTTTCATTCCTGATACGCTTTTGGCGAAGTGATAGTATTTTTCTCTTTATCTTCTTCTTTCTTTTTATCTTCATTTCTACAATCTCTTACACACCCCGCCCTGCTTTCCTTCCTTGTTCCGTCGTCTATTTTATATTTTGATTATATTTTATTTTATTTTATGCATGCATTTTTTTTTTTTTTTTTTGATGCGTGTTTTGTCATTATCGTTGTTGGAGTGAAGTCTGTTTTTAGTTTTCTGTTCTGCTGAGTGTGTCGTTTGCTATCGAGCCGATGCCGGGTCGGCATGACACACACACACTGAATACCCCCGCATTTTGAGCACGACACCCGCTTCTCTGTCATAGACTCTGCACGCACACGCGCTTGCAAAAATGGCGCTTGAACAGGTCGCCAAATGCATTGGAAGCGATACAAGCATCGAAGGTACTCAACCCACTCCCCGTACGCACGTAGCTGCACAGGCACTGATACAACCTCCTTCCGTACACGCACACATGTAAATATATGTATATGCATTCGAGGACGTGTACTACAAAGACTTGCTTAATATTCTAGACAATTACTAGTGTAATTAGTACTTTTATCTGATGACGCTGTTTGATTAGCGAAACATGTCAACATAAAAGTTTTCTAAATTTTCTTATATATTTCTTATATATTTACCAATCAGTGCAATCAAAATTCTTTCAGTATTAAGCTTAGAATATATATAAGGCGTCTCTATCAATATTTCTGGGATGAGCTATTATGTACACTATTTACATTATTCGGACTATTGTCCTCATCTCTGTTGCCATATTTATCACAACGTTTCGGGTGTTGTACGCTCTGGCCTTCTTCGGGTGGCTGCAATGTCGAACTGAACCCTTTATTTCGCTCACTGGGGTAGACTGTTCTAGTTCCACGAACCATGTCTAATGGATGTCAGTTATCAGTTATCTTCTGTTAATTCCCCTCTCCAAGTTCTCCATTGCCTTAAGGACACATAGTACAGTGGATATACGCGTTAGTTAGATCCAGTGACAGGACCCAAAAAGTGTGAGTTCAATACCTGGTTAAGGCAGTGGAGAACTTGGAAAGGGGAGCTAGGACATATGACAACAGAGATGAGGACAATAGTTCGAATAATGTAAACAGTGTATATAAAGCGTCTATTGCAGAACTATGTAAGAAAGAAGAAGAAGAAGAAGAAGAAGAAGAAGAAGAAGAAGAAGAAGAAGAAGAAGAAGAAGAAGAAGAAGAAGATATCTGTCTATATTTCTGTTATTGTAACTATTTACACTATTTGCATTGTTCGGACTGTTGTCCTCATCTTTATGGTCACGGACTCATGTCGCAGTGGACACAAACGTTGGCTGAAGAAATCCAGTGACTTTAACCAAACAGTTGGCAAGTTCTATACCCGGCTACAGTAGAGGTGAACAAGCGTGTTTTTGTGCACAGGCTATGACAGAGAAGCGGGTGTCGTGCTCAAAATGTGGGGGTATTCAGTGTGCATGTGTGTCATGCCGACCCGGCATCGGCTTCATAGCAGACGACACACTCAGCAGACCAGAAATCTAAAAACAGTTGAAAGTGGAATTACTAAAGGGAGATAACTGTAACTGAGATATCCAAAAAAAGGCATGACACGGGGAACTAGAACAATCTACCCTGGTGGACGAAATAAAGGGTTCGGTTCGAAATTCCAACGTTGATCACCTGAAGAAGACCGCAGCGTACAACGGCCGAAATGTCGTGAATATGATAGTAAAGAAGTATTGACTCCAATACCTTTGGTGACATAAACTCTGTCATGAATTTTAAACCCATCGAGCTCGTATATATGTAGCCTTGTCCCACATTAAACTAAGTGAATAACTTAACCCTTTCACTGCTGCATTAATATAGCATTGTAGCCTGGCTGTGCTGGCCACTTTTAGGAAAAAAAGAAAATAAACTGAAAGTAAATGACGAGAAAAACGCTGACGGCGATTTCTCATAGGCGCTGTCATTTTAATTTCGATCGGATATTCAGAAGCTTAGACTAAACAACAACCCCAACACACGGTAGTGACAAAACGTGTCATGTGGTACGCCACTATATGCCTTCTTTTGTAACTCAAGCAAAAAACAGACATTTCACATTGTCTTGGGTATACGACAACAATATGTAATATACATTTCTTTAATACACGTAATCACGTCCACAGCAGCAGGTGTTAAATAATCTGCGTTAGAAGGATAATTAGGAAGATAATCAGGCAAGCCGCTGCTAATGGATTCATATGAAACCTAATTATATATATATATATATATATATATATATATATATATATATATATATATATATATATATAATACTGCACCTATAGCGCTGTTGGTGTTAATAAAATAGGGATTTATATATATATATATATATATATCCCTGTTTATATATATATATATATATATATATAAACAGGGATAATATATATATATATATATATATATATATATATATATATATATATATATATATATATATATATATATATATATATATATATATATATATATATATATATATATATATATATATATATATATATATATATATATATATATATATATATATATATATATATATATATATATATATATATATATATATATATATATATATATATATATACCATTATATATATATATATATATATATATATATATATATATATATATATATATATATAAATTATATATGTTTATATATATATATATATATATATATATATATATATGGGTGACTTTGTGTTTATTTAGGCAGCTAATGTTCTTCAAGGCAAATATTATTAAAGGCAAGAGACATTTTGTTTCAATTAATTTCCTGATCAACTTTTCCAAATTGCGAAGGATTCTTGTCAGATAAAGAAGAAATTCCGTCATAAAATTGTCCGAAGTTCATTTCGGAAGTAATATGGTCCTAGTTTTCGGCTTTCTTAAATCATCGTCAGAGTCGGTAGAGACAAATGGTGAGTGTTGTGACGTAGGCAAAGAATGTTGTGACCTAAGAAAGGTTTGACGTGTGTTTGTGTTTATTTAAAAAAAAAAAATTATTTAATATACATTGGCATGACGGCATGACATGACTGATCGTGAATGCGTAATGAGGTTCACGTTGCATTCTCAGAACGCGAGGTTTGCCGTTTTTCGGAATTTTCGTCAATTTAATTTCGCCGTTACACATTTGAACTAGTTTATCTACAACACTTGTATATCGTTATAATGGGGCCTCACATCAGTGAGCGGGGGGGCGGTGTGCAACTTAAACCGTTGAGAGGAAGGCCCCGAAACGGTGCACATTCTCTCCTGATGACCCCAGTTTAAATATAAATTCGAGAAGAACACATCAAAATTCAGTGAAGTCATATGCCGTAGAGAAGCTCAGTGGAAGTGTCATTGGCATGAGGAGCATTAGACATTCAGCTCGCTTCAGGTGAGTTTCAATTACTTTCCAGTAATTTCCTTCTTCTGGAGGATGCAGGCTCTTAAATTATAATTGTTTTTATTTATCGAGTGTTGTTTTTGTTGTATGAACCCTGCTTCAAGGATCATAAGTTTGTTTTTACTATTTGATTTGACTATTACTTTGGTATTGTTTTTCTGTCTAAAATTACTATGAATTAATGGTGTTTATCAATGCGTTATCTGATGCCACTCTGGTCAGATAGGTGGCAAGTATGTTTCTCTGGAAGTGTGCTTGTAGTATATCCTATGTAAGACGTGCTTTTATTTAGAGAGAAACCGTTCTCGGAATGGATGCACATATTCATACACAACATTGGTCTTATGTTGGAAGTATGGGATAAATTATTAAATAATCTATAAAAAAAGCAAAAAAAAAACTAGCAAATTAGTTATTAAAAATAATCATTATTTTTAATAACTAATTTGCTAGTTTTTTGTAGTAAATAATAAATCAGATATATGTCCATATTTCTGGGTTGAGGTATTATGTACACTATTTACATTATTCCTCATCTTTGTTGCCATATTTATCACAACATTTCGGCCGTTGTACGCTCCGGCCTTCTTCAGGTTGTTGGATCCAGTGACAGGACCCAAAGA